AACTTCCCTGATGTTTATTTTTTTAAATTTCATAAAATTTCTCAGAACTTCCTGTTATTTTCCTGAAATAAAACCATGAATTTCTCAAAGTTTTTTTTTTTCGGGTCTTTCTTTAAGTTTCCGTATTTTTGCTTATGTTTATGGAAAAGTCCTGCGGTTTTCAAAACTGCTCCAAAGTTCATTTAACTTCCCTAAAGATCTCTAAGCTTCTTTGAAATTTTCGGACGTCCTACTTCTTTGTTCTTGGAACATACAATTTTTCTGCCGACGCCGGTGGTGTATTGGTAAGCGTGACTGCTTTCTCACCCCAATGGGTCTGGGTTCAATCCCAGTCGAGGTCGGTGGGATTCTTCTAAGGCATAAAAATCTCTGGTCACGTCTTCCTTCGGAAGGGAAGTAAAGCCGTTGGTCCCGGCCCATGTGTGTTGAATGGGTGCGATATCCTACGCAGGTGTGGAAGCTGCCTTCTTGCACATTTGATTGCGGTCAATGGATGGCAATCGATGTCCGCCAGTGATTGCAGAACAGAGACCGACGTTAAATAAAAGAAAGAATAATCTGAATCTTATGAATCGGAATCGGCTCTGAAGTTTTCAATTTTTCGTTACTTTTCTAAAGTTCCTACAATTTTCCTGATGTACACTGTCTCGAAGCTCTCTAATATTTTTTAAACGTCGTCAAACTTAAATGATGACTTTTTGGATTTCCTGAAGCTAGGCTAGTTCCATGAAGCCTCTAGACTTGTCCAACGATCTTCCTACTTGTCCTATGGATCCCATTTTGCTTAACGACGAGTTTAGGGTGTCCTACCTAGGTAAAAAAATGATGCTTCACAAGTGTTATTTGAAAAATTTTACCCAAGTAACAATTCAAGTATGTACCAACCCAAGTAACAGTAAGAACAGAAGCTGATTATTGATTGATTTAAGGTTTACAAAGCTGATTAACAGCAGGCTGAATAGATAGTTGATTAGTAGTGCAAAAAGCTAATTGTATCCCCATAATTCAACATCAATAAGTTAGCTGATCTAAAGATTGAACAAGCCTTATTTTAGCTTAACACTACTCCATAAATCAGCAATGCACTACAAATATTTTGATAACCTGATTTGTTAAATGTAGTCAGTGTCACTTGTTGCATTTCTGGCATTCTAGTGGTTCTAAATTCACTGCCTATCTTTCTAATCCCAAGCAGCGGCAGCAGTAGAGACAAGGTAGATGAGCTTTTTAGAAATAGCTCCAGGTAGAACTGGGCTGCGACGGGGCCGAAATTATTAACATTTGTATTTCTGTGTTTTAACTGCTGTAATGCATTGAATTTTCAGACAGAATTCCAAAAATATAACTCAATTATGGCACTAAAATAGCTTCCACATGACCATCGAAATAAATCGCGCACTTGTGTCCACATTGTCTTAACTACACTTGAAGATGAGAGGAATGTTGGAATGTCACCAGTTGTTGTTTATAATTCTGCATTGCTGTGTAAAACTCTTCCGGTTGCTGTTATTCAACTTAAATTTGACGTGTTTCAAGTTAATGATCATATCTTTTGCCACACATATGCTTAAGTGGTCCAGTAGATATGATTGATGCATGTAAATCAGCGACTGCCGGTTCGAATCCCGAAAGCAAAGGTAATTTTTAGACTTTTAATAACAATATCAATATGTGTATCCAATTAGTCAGCAAATTGATGCAATCCCATAAAAATGTTTAAGATATGAAGCGGTCTTTCATTATTATTATTTTTTCTAAATAAAACTAGATTTCTGATCAAGGGTTAGAAAAGATTGTTGTTCAATGCCTTTAAAAGCTTATAATTTATATAACTGTTAAGCTTTTAGCTGAATAAAATCACCAGATTTAGATGTTTAAAAGCTGAAAAAAGCTTAACGTGGTCTATGTACAACAATTATTAAAACTAAGGCTGAATTAAAATCGATTGAACAACACTTGTTAAGCATCAAATTGTTACCTGGGTAATTCAGTCTTAGTTTGAATAATTGTTGTACATAGACCACTTTAATCTTTGTTTAGCTTTTAAACATCTAAATCTGGTTATTTTATTCAGCCTAAACAAGAGATGAACTAGCCTATGGCTTAAAATCTCTCTAATAAAGAAAAAAAAAATCAACCTAAACCTAAACCAAATCAAAGTCTTTTCTAAGACGAGTCCGTTTAAAATGGAAAAGGAAAGGGACAGCCGGAGGAACATCGTATTTTTAGATTTACGAAAGTACTCGAAGAGATTCGGACCCTCTGATGCTATTTACGATAGCCAGAATTGTTTTGCTGTTCTCTGAACTTAAATAATATTGTCAGCACTTATTTTAAACACTCTGGATCTATTTGGAGTTTCCTGAACTTCACTAAAGTTCTGTTTAATTTATCCTAGGCAGGCTTGCAATTGCTCATTACAGCTAAAATGCTATTTTTCAATATTGTTGTGACAAAATTGACAAATTTTATATGTCATATACAATCTTTACCACCTCTTCTTGCATCTTACAAATAAAAATTATCATTAGAGTATCCCATTGTTTCATAATAACGAAAAATAGCATTTTAGCTGTAAGGAGCAATTGCAAGCCTGATCCTAGGTTGTACTGGACATCGTTTTGACGATTTTCCGAATTTATCTGAGGGCTTTTGAAGATCTATAAATTACTATGAAGATTGCCAAACTTCTTTGAAATTCTCTGATGGTGATCAGAGAGCTTTTGAAAAGAAGAAATGATGAAGCTTTGTTTTCCTTGATTTGTTTTCCGTACTGAGTGCCAATGCTACCGACGCCAGTAAGGCAGCTTCCACACCTGGACTCTACCTATCGACCTATCAACCCATGGACCGAACAACAACGGCTCCCTGCGATGCCGAGTGGGATTGATCCCAGGCCTTTTGGGATGAGAGGCAATCACGCTTACCACTACACTATTGGCGTCGCTAAACGATGAAGCTTGCAGAAGTTTCAACAAACTAATGAGATATTTAGTAAACTAAGGAATGTTGGCATACTTTGAAGGGGTTTTATAGATTTCTGCACTATTTTGATGAATTTTGAGAGCTTGACGGTGCTTTAAAGGTGTTCAGTAAAGATCGAATCTACTAATTAAAATTTTGTGAAAAATGCTCAAGTCAGCATTCACAAAAAGTTGTTAAGACAATTTTTGAAGAATATCCCACACATGTGTAGAATTGTATGGATTGATGTGTCGCTTTGTGATTGATCTCCTAAAATACCAATGCGTCTTTGGAAGTTAACAATTACAACCAACGATATGTTCACGTTATAGCGTAACCAAGTGGCTACGGTAGCACCCGAAACATGCCCAATGTGGTTCAAGGCACTTAACATAACCACCATCGATCTTGTTTTCGAATTCTGATGTTTTATGATGTATCAGGTGATGGATATTGACCTAAGCTATAAACCGGTCATTTCCCCGGTGACACCCAAAACATGTCCGGATGAGGCTTATGTGGTCCTGGGTACTCAATATATCAACCTTGTTTTTTGAATTTTCACGTGATTTAATATGTCGCATGATGGGTTTTTGCCCTAGACAGAAACTTACTACTTACTCGGGGCCACATGGAACGTGTCCGAATGTGACTCAGTATGAGTGACATTGTACTTGCTCCCATAAAGCTTCTTGAACTTAAACTAAATTCCATGAACTCAATCGAAGCTTTCAAATTTCTTTTCAATCCATTAAGTTTCCTGAGCCACTAGGAAGTTCTTCGAGGTTTGAGGAAGTTTTGTGAACTCCTCGCCAACTCTCACGATGTGTACCAAGCTCTCTAAATTTGACTAAGATTTCCAATGATCCCGGGAAATGATTTTCTTGAAGCCACTTGAAAAGAATAAATGTTGGGATTCTCCTAATTTTAACAAAAAAATATTTTCAGGATTAAAAATAATTATGATCAAAATTTCAAATCTTTAGTTCGTTCGTGGTATCAATATAAGTAGGAGAAATGGATGTAATGTCGGCCTAAATGCCCCTAATTTGGGCCCATACATAAATTCAGCAATCGACTAAGCGACCAAAAATATCCATTGATACCGTCCCAATGACGCGTTGATCTAGATAAAACTGATAAATAGCAGATTTTTAGCGATGGGCCCAATCTTAGATTCATAGGCCAACATTTGAGCCATTTCCCCTAAGTTTTGAATCATATAAAAATATTATCCTAGAAATTTAAAAAAAAGTAGGCAAAGCTCAGAATCGTTAAAAATATTAATATCAGGAAGACCAAACCCAAACACATCGCAGCCACAACGCAACCACTATCCATCAGCACACCAAGTCACCTTTCATCAAAGTGTATATATTTTTAAAGTTTCCCTCCCGTGGCCATCGTCGCTCGAGCGGTTTTTTTTTCTCTCTCTACAAAACCCATGGCACCAAACACCACCAACCACCCCGCGAGTCTTTAAGAAGAGAAAACTTCTTTAGTGGGAAAGTATAGCACCGGAATGCAAAATCTGGGACCGAAATTGAAATTCACTGTCACTGCTTTTTTCCCGCCCGAAGAGGAGGTGGAGAACAACCGAGGTCACTTAACTCATCCCAACAGCCATGGACGGATGGGGAAGTAAATTGAATATGTTTTTTTTTTTCCCCTTCACAGTGCTCTTCATCTGCTTTGGTCTTCAACCTGTGGTTTTTCCTAGAGGGCCACTGATCCTTGCATGTGTGAGTCAATCCCGAAGAGCGTGCCACCGAAAAAAAAAATCATAGTGTATTCGTGCGGGTAAATTACTATGCATGCCTAGCAAATTGAAAAATTGAGCTATTAAAGCTCCCCCGGTTCCGAGGTTTCGATTCGCCAGCGGCAGCAGAAGAAAAAGTTTACTCGCAAATCGCTCGCCGTTACCTAAAGTCATTATCCAATTTGTTTTCATTTCCTCGACTAACGCGATACATTATTGCGCATTTGATCGATTTCACGCCATTGTAAAACGGTTTTCTCTTTTCCTCCCATTACAGACACACAAATTCATCGACATCTGTTATTGAGACCCACCAACTGTCGCATGCAGCTGAGCTAGACTTAACGACCAGATGAAAGAAAAATTCGAAATCATGACCGATCAGGAGCACTATAGCCTTCGGTGGAACAACCACCAGAACCACATTCTACGGGCATTCGATACCCTGCTGCAGACCAAAACCCTCGTCGATGTCACGCTGGTCTGTGCCGAGACGAGCATCCGAGCGCATAAGGTTGTCCTGTCGGCCTGTTCGCCCTTCTTCCAGCGAGTGTTCTCCGAAACTCCCTGCAAACATCCTGTGATAGTGCTGAAAGACTTCCGCGGATGGGTTGTGCAAGCGATCGTAGACTTTATGTACCGTGGCGAGATCAGCGTTCCTCAAGAACGACTCTCAGTACTGATACAGGCCGGAGAATCGCTACAGGTTCGGGGGTTGGTTGACCATCCAGTAGCAGGTAACACCCCAACCCCTGCGCAATCTCCCGAAGACTTCAGTCTGCTGGACTCTTCGCTAATATCGCCAACATCACCGTCACTTCCGTCGCCAAACTTCACCCACCACCACCACCATGCCCGCCACCCGCATCAGAACTCCACGGCAACAAGCATGCTCAGTGCCAGTACTCCAAAGTTATTGCTGCCACCACAGGTGTTCGCCGATCCTTCTCTAAACCTGCCCAACCCAGATCTCTGCACTTCACCCATGCCACGACGAAAGCAGGCCCGTCCAAGGCGACGATCAGGTGATTGTGCCCCTCAGGACCTAAGCAGTAAACCCACCAGTCCCGTTCCCCCCAGCATGGATGAAAAGGAAGATGAAGACAACGAAATCGATCGTGACGACGACGAAGAACTAGAAGATGAAGATGACGATATCAAGGAAATCATTCGAAGAAGCGAAAGCGAGGACAAAAAGGATTCGAGTCCGCAGAAAACACCAAGTAAAAGCGATGACAACGAAAAGGACAGCAAAAATAATTCAACCGCGTCGACAGCTTCCCTCTCCGTAATGGATGGACCCGAGAACCTCTGCATGAAGAAATCCTCCGTTTCAAATAACAGTTCAAACAACTCCAGCAATTCGAACAAAGATAGCAACTCTCGGTTATCAGACCCATCCAGCATCAAGGACAGCTCTCCGGAAACGACGATCGGTCGACTTTCGCTGAAGGACATCCGTCATCTGAATAGATCCTCCCTGGCCCGATCCATGAGTTCGCTATCGCCTCCGCCTTCGTTTCACCTGAACAACAACCCTCCCTCCAGCCTGTCCCACCCGGATAAACGGGTCAAACTGGAAGATCGCGACGATGACCGACTTGGCGACGACGATGGGCCTCATTTTTTAGACCACATGGACCTGGCCTTAGCCTCGCATCAGCACCCGCTAGCGCATCTTTCGCATCACAACTCCTCGCCGCAGCTACGGCCCCCGGGACTAACGCCGGATGGTGAAAACAACAACAGCAGTAGCAGTAAGAACAACAACGGGAATGCTGGACCGGGAAATGGACCCAGCAGCAGGGACGGGAACAACGGATCCGGTCCGATGGGAGTGGGGATGGGAGGTGGAGCGGGCGGCAAGGATGGACGACTGGGTCCGAAGGATTTTCTGCACAGTCCAACGTTAAATTTTCCGCCGTTCTTTAACCAGTCGGATGGACCGCCACGGCCGCCGCACTCGCCCCTGTCGTTCCCGCACATGCCGTCGGTTTCGTCGCTGACGCTAACGCCACCGCATAGTAAGTATTGCAATTCATTCGGTTTAAGATTATTTACATTTGAGAACATTTTGAGATTCATTGGAGATCAATTTAAACTACTTGAAATGGAAAATTTTAATAAATTAATTCAAAAGCATAATATTTTCTGGATTGTAGCCTCGTGTCAGTTAAGGCACAGTATTACCAAGTCAAAAGTGGGAGGTTCAATTCTTGGTTCGGTCTAGCAAATCGATCCCGACCTTACAATATTATTCCTTGATATTTTGCTCTTATGTCATGCTTATGTATACGAATGCCAATTAATATCGAAATCCTTCTCCGGAAGCCACTAAGAAGACGAATATTTTCTAACTTATGAAACTCTAACATTTCATGCTTAAGCAAACATTTGTCAAACAGAAAGTGGTTTACGATTACTTTCTTTACGTGGATTCATATTTCCTGAACACAGATATGTTGAGTGAATAAACATAAAGGTTATAAGCTAACCTGTCGAGTGTATCAATTTTGTCAGAAATGCACATTAAGGTGCTACACTTTGAAAAAAAAAGTGTTAAATTTCTTATAGGCCATCCTCCAGTTCGATTTATAACCCTGAAATATGAGCCTGTGCAAAAAATGGTAAAGATTGATGAAGATTTAGAGGTCACGCAAATGTTTAAAAATTTGTGTGGAAATAAGTAAGGATGAATTTTAAAAATCACTTTTACTGTCTTAACTTTGGTTCTACTGGTTAAAATGTTGAAAATTTTTATAATGGAACAGTCCATACCAAATGACAAATACAAAAACTCGACCTTCTCCGATTTGCATGAAACCTTGCATAATTGTTTGTAATGTTAAAACCCCAAATACCTCAAACTATCCAAGTCCGACTTTTGAATTTTTGATGTCGAAAAAAAAGCTTAAACAAACTTTTGAAATGTTCAAAACCATGGACACTTGAATACTGACAAAAATCGTAGAACAAAAACTTTTGAACAAACTTTAAAATATTAGTTAGTACACTTTTTTGGGTTTATTTTTTATCACAGAACATGATTTAAACTTCCTTCCTTCAGATAACAACTTGAGTGCGGTAAAATCGATAGAACTGTTTCAAACACATCGTCGGTACATGAGCGAGTTGACGATCATTTCTTTTTGCTAGTGGTGGCGGGGGGAATACCCATTACCATCCCTCTCAAACGGAGGAGTTTGGTAAAGAGAGGTGATCAAACCAATTTGTACCTTCTTTAAAAGTCGTCCTTGCTCGCTTTCTACTCTCTATATAAAATTTTCACACTGCCGTACTCTAACGGAACTATCAACTCTATACTTTCATCTCCTCATCTATCGTATAAAAATTACCACTTTAGACTGTTATTTGAAATTAGCATCTTCAACTATATAAATCGTTGACTTCACTCAGAAGTAATACAAAACATACAGTCAAAAGTATGATTTAAACTGTTCAAAACATGTTTAAATGATATTAAAGAAACGTGCCAACAACCAGTTCAGAAATTTTACCAAAAGTTCTTGTTCATCGATTTTTTTCAATTTTCAAATGTCCATAATTTCAAAAATTCCTAAATTTTAAATATTTCATAAGCTTTTATTTAAAAAAGAAGAATTAAAAATCAAACAATCACTTTTTGAGATATTGAGGTTTAAATATTTTTTTTTATTTCTACTTGAATTTTCTTGAAAATATGTTTGTATATTTAACCAAGAAAAATTCCATAATGGGCAAATTTTAGCAAAAATGCAAATCATTGCCAATAATATACAATTATACAAGATTTCATGCAAATTGGAGAAGATCGAGTTTTTCTGACTCGTCATTTGGCGTAGAATTGCTCTAATGCAGAAGTGCCGCAAATTCGTGAAATTTCAGCAAACTTTTCAGAAGCTCAGCAAACTGCGTAAATGTTCAGGAAATAACTATGGCAGCAGTTTAGCAATCTTCTTAGAACTTGAGGAATCATCATAACAGTTTAAAAAAATTCGTAGCCATTTGTCAAAAAATTTATTTCGAAAAAGCACATTGAGTTTCCTGGTAGTTTTGGGAAATTCATTTCGACCAGATGCTCACGAAAATTCGTAGAAAAGGTTCAAGATTTTTCTGGAAATTTTGAGAAGTTCATACATGTTCTAAAATCTAGGTCAAATTAGAAGAGCTTGGAAAAAAAAATGACGGAACTTGGAAAATCTTCAGGGAACTTCATGGAAGTTGAATTGTTTTTTTTTCTAGAAATTAAAGAAACTTTGCAGATGTTTAGGAAACATTGTGCACAGAAAATAAATCTAATCGCAGCGGCGTCACGTCCACATGTGCAACCTGTGTACGACACAGGTTCAAATGATATAAAATTATGCGTTTAGATTTTTAAAGATTTTATGGTTTTAAGTGAGCATGAATACTCTATGTTATAGTGTGGTTCAAATAAATGTTTAACCTTGCTTTGCATCAAGAAGGATTAAATTCAGTAGGCAGACCATCGCCTAATACCTAATACATTAATTTCTTATCATGTCAATATCACCATGACAAAACTCGATAAATAGTGCACCTAAAGCGAGGTTTTTTTTGTGGCGGGTGGCAACTTTGTGGATGATCAAATGCCTGATGTAAGCTAAGTGATTGCTAGACTTTCTATCACCCGGTGATAAAATAAGATCATGCTTGAAACATACCACAAACTGTCCACACTACATTAAAACTTTCAAGCAAGCACGCGCTATACGGGAGCAACACGGAAATAGCAGTCTGGTATGCTTTGGACGTGTAACATACTTGCAGACCGCGTGCTTCCTTTTTAAGAAGTTGTGATAACGCGATACCTTTTCGTTTCTTCTTCTTCTTCTTTTTCTTCATTTTTATATATGGATGTTGGATTTTAGTGTTCGTGAGATTGCGCTTGGAGATCTCTATGGGTGCCTAAAGGTGTATTCAGATCTGAGCGATATTTCACGCGCGGAGAGAGAGAGAAAAGTACTAGTTGTCTCTCTCATTCCAACGCAAATTTTGCTCCGCTCCGCTAATGCACGCTCAGATCTGAATACACCTTAAAGCGTGCAGTTCTTGCTGGATATCTGGGGTCGCATTGCGCATCTCGAAACGAAAGACATTTTGTACGAACGCTTGTATGAAAAAGTTTTTCGTTTCGAGATGCGCAATGCGGCCCCTGATTGTACACTCAAAAGATATTCAAATCTAAATAGATTCAAAGTTACCATGTTATTATTTAGAATCTGAAGGCGAACCCAGCGTAGTGGTTAGCATCCATACCTCTCACGCCAAAGTCACGAGCTCAAATCTCACCCCAGACATGTCACGAATGACCCAAGAGCGTTAAAGTGGCTATAATAAAATTAAAAATACCTATATATATATTAAGAACCTGATGTTTAACGGCGCCGGTGGTGTAGTGGTAAGCGTGATTACCTCTCACCCCAGAAGGCCTGGGTTCAATCCTAGTCGGCGCCGCCGGGATGTTCTGAGGCATAACATCTCTGATCACGCCTTCCTTCGGATGGGAAGTAAAGCCGTTGGTCCCCGGTTCATGAGTTGATGGGTCGATAGGTAGGGTCCAGGTGTGGGAGCTGCCTTCCTGGCACGTCGGTAGCATTGGTGCTCAGCACGGAAAACAAGATCGACGGAAAAAAAACAAACCAAAGGAAAAAAAAAGAACCTGATGCATCTACAAAGATTTGCTACAGCATGTATAGCTGTAATAAAAGCTGGTTATAAGGACTGTGAAGTACATCAGCGATGTAACTGAGAAAGCAGCCTCCCGATCGTTCAGGAAAGCTAGTTTCATTCTGGTGAATTCTCGTCCTGCTTGTGCTTCTCCGCGTTCTCTTTTTCCTGTAATTCCAATACAAGTGCTGTAGTTGGCTGTATTCCTGAATTACACTGTACTGCACGTTCGATGGAATTCACCGATTTACTCGGCTAAGAAAGACCGGAAAATGTTTAACTTATCATCAATCAGTGCTAGAGATGCCTTCAACCTGTCGTTTTGTGTTGGTTGGTCTTACTTCTTGGGGGATACTAGATCTAGCTTCAATCTGGTGATCCTTTCAGGAACATGTTTGTTAACTGTACGCTTATAGGAATAATATCCATTTTCGAAACAAATGAACATAGAATATAGAATTTTATAAATCCGAAGAAGATAGAATCCGAAACATAAATACTTACTTTCAAGTCATTCTTCCTAGTCCAGTATAGTGATCAATGAACTTATTGTCTAATGGTGAGCATCACTCAACGTGTCAAGGAAAATCATTTACATTCATTTGTCTCTAACTTTTTTCATCAAAAACATAACGCAAAATGATGTATAGAGCTTTTGTAGGTTTTGTTTTGTTTTAGCTAAAACTTTTGGTAACAACTCAAATCTGTATCTTTTATGCATCACGAACTATAGCGGGCAGAACTTGTTACTGTTTTTCATTGAATGAAAAATACATTCGCTGTAAAACATTAGTGGCTTCTGTTCGCTCTGGTTTGTCATGCCTAAGAGATACGGATTTGAGTTTTTGACAAAAGTTGTAGCTAATAACAAAACCTACAAAATCTCCATACATCATTTTGCGGAATTCACGAAATGATTTGCATTCCATGCCTGCTCAACGCTACTAAATAAAAATGTCTGACTACAGACGAAAGAGGTGGAATACGTCAATCCACACGGTAACTCGCAACAACTCATAATTGAGTCGAACATGCTCATTTCAGCGAGAAGTATGGCTACTCAAAAGAGAGTAGGAGCACTTTTACTCACTTTTGAGTAAACGACGTTCTCGCGCAGAGTGAGTGATATTTCCAGCCGGGATGTTTGTTTTTTTTTTTTTTATTTGTTTTGATTAAAATGGAAATTACCAGCTCCAGATTAATTTAACTCGAGCTGAAAACGACTGAAAATCGTCTCCGCATGCAATTCCTACTTGCCATACATTTCAGCCGGTATTTTGCAATAATTTCGCCGTTTATTAGTGCGTTTGCTCCAACACAACTGGTATTTTTT